ATTTAACTTTTTCATCTCGTCTGATTGGTCGTGAGAGTGGATGCTACATGTTCCATCTGAAATATTTCTTCGTCTTGTATTGTCCAGCGATTGATGTTTGTTTTGTTATTGTCCTTTGCGTGGCTGATCAGCGATCTTCATCTGATGTTTATTTGACACTGAGCCAACTTTGTCTTGGTCTAGTTTTTCTCCCATTTCTAATTTCTTATGTTGCGCTTTGGGTTGCTCTTGACATTTCTTCGTTTGATATTTGTCGTCTGATGCACAATTCATGATCCTTCTATGTATGTGTCTTTGTCTTTTTGTGTTTATGTGAGTGTTGTTGTGTTTGAGTTTGTGTCTATTTGAGTATGTTTATGTCTATGTTTATGTTTGTGTTTTTGTATGTGGTTGGGTTTGGGTGTCTTTGTGTCTGTGTTTGTGCTTGTGTGTGTTTGTGTCTGTAAGTGTCTCTTTGTGTATGAGTTTGCATTTAGGTGTTTGGATGTCTTTGTGTGTATGTGTGCATATGTGTGTTTGTCAGTTTGTGCTTGTGTATCTATGACTCTACGTATTTATGAGTGTTTCTGTGTCTGTTAGTGTGTGCCTATGTGCGTGTATTTATGTGTGTCTATGTGTATGTTTGCGTGTGTTTCTTTGACTGTGTGTGTTTGTATGTATGTGTGCCTTAGTGTGTCTATTTATGTGTATCTATAATTGTGTGTTTATCTTTGTGTGTCATTGCATGTGTTTCTGTTTATAAGTGTGTGTGTCTTGGTGTCTTTTTGTGTCTTTAAGTGTGTCTGCGTGTGGTTGTGTGTCTACATATGAGTATATGTTTGTGCGTTCATGGGTTTGTGTGTGTATGTGTGTCTTTGGATTTGTGTGTTTGTGCTTATGTGTGTGTGTCTATCTAATCGTATGTGTTTGTCTGTTTGTGTCTATCTATATATGTCTATTTTTGTGCAAGTGTGTCCATGTGTCTTTGTGTGAGTGTTTGTATGTGTGTGCCATTAGGCGTGTGAGTCTATGTTTGTCTGTGTGCCTGTGTGTATGTCTCTTTGTGATTATGCGTGTGTTGTGTGTGCGTGTGTGTATGTGTCTGTGTTCGTGTTTGAGTGCCTGTGTGTTTCTCTGTCTATGTGTGTCTTCGTGTATTTGTGTGATTGTTTGGGGTTGGGCATGGGTGTGAGTGGTTTTATGTGTGTGTATGTCTCTTTGTGATTATGCGTGTGTTGTGTGTGCGTGTGTGTTTGTGTCTGTGTTTGTGTTTGAGTGCCTGTGTGTTTCTCTGTTTATGTGTGTCTTCGTGTATTTGTGTGATTGTTTGTGGTTGTGCATGGGTGTGAGTGGTTTTATGTGTGTGTTAGTCTCTTTTTGTGTGTATTTGTGCGTGAGTATTTGTATGTCTTTATGTGTGCATGTGTTTGCCTTAGTGTGTGTCTTTTTGTGTATGCACATGGTGTGTTTGTGTGCCTTTATATGTGTGTCTCTCTATTTGTGTGTTTGTGTGATTATGCGTGTGATTGTGTGTCAGTGTGTACGTGTTCGTGTGCGTGTGTTTATTTGTGTGTTTGTGAGTGTCTATGTGTGTTTGTTTTCATTTGTTTATGCCTGACTATGTCTTTGTATGTGTGTCTCTTTGTTTATGTGTTTGGATGTGTACGTTTTTGTGTATGTATGTCTGTGTGTGTGTCTAGGTGTTTGTGTTTATGTGTGTGTGTTTTTGTGTGGTTGCGCCTGTCTGTGCAATTGTGTGTTTCTTTGTATCTATGTGTGGTTGTGTATTTATATGTTTGTGTCTATGTTTGTCTTTGTGTGTGTATGGAAGTGAATGTATTTATGTGTTTGTTTGTCTGTTGTTTGTGTGTTGCTTTACATTTGTGTTTGTTCTGTGTATGTGTGTATGTATCTTTGTTTATGTTTGTGTGTTTGTGTGTATGTTTGTCTGTATGTGTTTGTGTGTGTGTGTTTGGGTTTGTTTGTTTGTTTGTGTGCCTCAATGTGTGTGTGTCTCCATGCTTGTGTGCGTGTCTATGTGTCTTTGTGTGTGCGTGTGTGGTTGTGTCTATGTGTGTGTCTTTGTGTCTATGTATGTTTATTTCTGTGAGTTTTTGTGTGTGTCTATGTTTGTGTTTGTGCATCTCTTTGTGTGTGTTTTTGTGCATGCATGTGTTTGTTTGTTTGTCTGTGCGTTATTTGCATGTATGTGTGTGTTTGTGTTTGTATGTGGGATGTGCCTATGAGTTTGTGTGAGTGTTGTTTGTGTGTGTCTGTAAGTTTGTGTGTATCTATGTGTGTTGTTTGTGCCTTCGTCTATGTGTGTGTCTCTATGTTAGTGTTTGTGTGTGTGTTTCTTTTTGTCTTTATGTGTTTGTTTGTATGTGAGTGAGCATGTGTCAAACTATGTTTGTCTGTGTGCCTTTTTGTGTGTGTCTTTTTGTCTATTTGTGTGTGTTTATTTACCTGTGTGTGCATTTGTGTGTGTCTGTATTTATATCTATGTGCATGTGTCTGTGTGTGTTTGTGTGTATGTGTGTCTATGTATGTGTGTGATGGTTCATGTTTGGGTTTGTGTCTTTGTATGTGTCTGTGTATATGTTTGTGTATGTGTGTTCGTGAATGTGTTTGTTTGTATTTGTGTGTGTGTCAATGTGTATCTGTGTGTATTTGTACGTGTCTGTGAAAACTAAGTTAAAGTTATGGAAGAGTTTGCTGTTAAACTTTTTCAGTAAAACATTTATTCTTGGTTCCTTAACCAGTGCCTTAGTGTTAGGGCACTGGTAGTTTTACCTTTTTACCCTTTTAGGTTATAAATTAGACAACAATAAAAATCAATACAAATAAAATCCAGGGTTTAACCTACCATGCAAACCCTAAACTAACCAAAAACATTGTACACAAGAGATTTGAAAAATCTAAACTTTCTAGTGACTAAAACATCATGTAACATAAAGATAACCAAAAGGAGTGCCGCCAAGGTGACTAAAGATGACCAAAAAAAAAAAAAAAACTAATGGCATTGGCCGTTGTGTGGAGCAAAAGGTAAAGGAAGTCGTGGATGGCTCTATTGGAAATCATGTTATTTTATTTATTTTATATGAAATGCAGTACAAAACAGTTGTAATATTTCAATTGAATGATAAAAGAAAAAAAATAAAATAGAATTTGATGGAAATCATGTGGGCCGTTGATATGAATTCGTGCCTTTTCGTTGATTTTTTTTTTTGTACTATTTAGCATTTTTATTATGTATAATATCTGTTTGGGATATTAACCTAACAACTTAAAATAATAGTCCACCCTGTACCACTACTTAACAAAGTGATGTAACCCTAATCACCCTCAAAATGATATTTATCTTTATTAAGATAACATTGTACTTACAAATTCAAAACATTCATTGACATTCTCATTTGTCCCCACTTGTTTAAAATACAGACGAATGTAATGTTTAATTTGTGACGCTATTTGTTAAAAAAGAATATAATGTTTCAAAAAAATACTTTCAAAAAATGTTTTAAAATATAATTTCAAAAATTTATTTCAAGAAGTAATTTTAAAACATAATTCTAGAAAATGTTTTCTGGAATAGTTTATATATTATTGCAAAAAATATTCACCGGAAGTTATTCTCTGGAACAATATGTTATTTCATAAAGTACTTTTTATAAGTATATTTTAACAAATAAAAAACTATTTCTAAAAATACTTTTTCAGTTGTATTAAAAAAATAAATTTAATTGTAATCTTTATATTTTGAAAAATCAACAAGCAATCCTACCTTAGAAAATTAATAGGGATGTCTCTTAAACTCGATAAACTAGTTAAAAAGACAATAATGAAGAAGGAATGAAAAAATAGAGCTTAAAGAATCATGTAGTTGAGAATGCAAAAATATGATTTAAAGAATAATAAAAATGAGGTGTCAGTGTCTTGTTGAAGAGAGGAACTAATAAAGTTGAATCAACAAAAAATGTTTAGAGATGAATAAGGTACGCAAGGAAGAGAGATAGAAGAAAATGGGGTGAAGGAAAAGATAATTAATGGAAATAAGATACATCTCTTTTTTTTTTCTTAAAAAAATCACCAAAATATTATTTCAATTTATTTTCTTTTTGAAATATTTTTTTAATAATTCCCTTTTTTACTTTTAATTAAAAACTAAATTAAAATTACATAAGAGAATATGTTAATAATTTTTTATTTATATTTTTACCTTTGATTTCATAATCGGTGCCCTAATGACACTGGTTAGCATTTTCCTATTAGAATTTATATTTTTACTCAAATATCTATATACCTATATTCATATTCATTATTACTAACATTTTAGTTACTTTAAATATAATATTATCAAATAGACATTATCTCTTGCTGTAATTTAGCTTAGTAACTATTGTTATCATTTATTCAAACATATTCATATCCCTTAATATTAGGTTCTATTATCTTTAAATATTAGGAAATCATATCCCTTAATATTAGGTTCTGTTATCTCTTAATATTAGGAAATCAGTTTATCATATCCTTAATCAAAATAAAATGTCCATTGAATATAAAGCTCTGAGTTTAAGCTTTTACGTTGAACGTGAAATGAATATACGATTTATTTTTTATATTTAAATTAAAATACATGTTAATTTAATGCAGGCCAATAATTTTATTAAATAAACTATTGTTCTAATTAGTTTTTTTTTTTAAATAACGGGAAACAATCCGTGATCAGTGAAATTTTTATTGCATCTTGGTTAATTAAAATTATATATATTTTTTTGTATATTTATTACTTTTAATTTATAATATTGGCGTCATATTTTAATAAAAAAAATGTAATGATAATAATAATAATAGTAACATACAATCCATTTAAATATATTTAAAGAATAATGAAATAAATAAGATTAATATTACATTATAAAATCCATACTCATCTTAATAATTATATATTTGTGTGGTTTTAATTAAAAGTATCCAAACTAACTTGATTTTTTTTATAAAAAAAAAGTACTTCTAAAATAAAAGTAACCAAACAAATTAAATTGTACTAAATCTACTTTTAACTAAACTTCAATTTACAAAATTAAGTTCAACTAAATTTCGTTTTGTGAACTGCAATCTAAAATCACAGTAGTATATAGTTGGGATATGTACACATATTTACGGTACTGCTACAGACTTCTCACGAAAAAACTGCCATCAGAACTTAAAACCAGGGATGCCACGTTGGATCCATCATGCACAAGTTCCTTGGGTTCAAGGCAGCTTCAACCAACTCAGTAACACCCCTCTGCACAGGCTGTGGTGGATCCATAACATTCTCCTCCTATATATAAATAAATAAATAAATAAATAAAAATAAAACGTAAATACCATGGATTAAAAAAGTAGCATAAAATACACTAAATGGGGAGAAGCTTATGATATAGCCAAGATTCTCAAAAGGCAAAATGAATTGCTTTATATTTATTAGGTAATAAATTACTTTTAAGAAATTTGTTATATAACCAGTTATCTCCTTGTTCCATCCTTTTAAGACCTGATAGTAGAATTTCCAAATAAATTAAAGCAAAGGATAAGTAATTTCAGAAAACTGAAAAGGCAACGCAATTTTGTTTTGTTGCTCACCTCTTCAGAAAAATTCTGAGGAGCGATACCCTTAACCCTTGTAATAACATGTTCCACATTTGTGATAACTTTCTGTTTGAAGTCAACGGGGCTCATAGTACCACCTGCAGCCATAGGGGCCATGGGCATCCCAAGCGGTCTTCTCCAAGACCAGGACAGTAGCTCATCACGGAAAAACATTGCTAGATGATGCCATAGGTGCTGACTTTGCTGCAATACCAATAATTTAACAACGAATCAATCGGTAGTCTTGCATTATAGGAGTTAAAAAAAAATAAATGAAAAAGCATTAAATTTTATGTATGCATGTATTATGAGTTCTTACTTTAGGTGAAGCCACAGCCTGTGCAGCTGCACACATTGAAGATACGATAAGGCCTTCCACTCCATGTGAGAAGAAGGCTTGCATATTCCTTGTCAGCCTAAATGGGACTGGTTCATTAAACTCGATCAATCCATTAGCATCATACGCAGGATGAAAATCAGTTTGAAATATTTTTCCAGTGTTCTTTGCAAACAAAATCTTGTTCGGAGACCTCCCACCAATTTGTAGCATAAAGGACATGAAACTTGAAAGGGCTAACTGGATGGCAAATTGCTTCTTGAATGCCCAACTATGGTTGCCACTAGGTAGAGTTTTGTACATATACTGTGAAAAGATGTTGTCATTAACAAGGTTTTTCGTTATTTCATTATATGCTTGCAGACGGAGATCAACAACAGCTTCTGGTGATATTTGCCCAGATATAGCTTGGTTCAACTGCTCCTTGAAATAGGTTATTGGAAGATCTGCCTCACGGTCATTCCTTGCACAATGATTCTCATAGACCTCAAGGAAAGTACTATACATCAAATCATCTTCTACCATGCGAACCTGTCCGTAAAAAAATTCAAGTAGGATTAGAGGATACTTTTGACAAGGAAAATATTTCCTTAGCAATCATGATTCCAATCAAGGCCATGAGACCATCTCTCTGAAAAAATAAGGTATAAAAAGAGAAACAATAATGTACAAGGAAAATTAATTTAACCTGGGACCAAACAGGAATAATTATGGGTGTGTGAATGCATATGTGACGGCGTCTTGATTCCTTGTGCTTCTCAAACATTTGGTTCATAACGCGGAAAAGCTGCAGTATGCGCTCATCACTTCTAGCATTGGGAGTCAAAGATGTTTGGACAATAAAATGACGTTGGGAACCATCAGAGCCAATTAGAGTCAAACGTCGAAAACTGCTCCCATGCCTTCTCACAATTGGAATATCAGCTGCAACCCTATCCAATTTCACGGTATGATCTGGTGCAATTTCCTGGAACAAAATAAAATAACTGAGAACCAGTATGGGATGCATGACTCCCAGGCCAACATGAGGCTATTTTCATCAAGATCCATATTATTATAGTATAAAAAATATATATTTAAAAACTAAAATATTGGCATTGTTTGGGGAAAAAAGAAAATCAGCAGTCACCTGATCAGTGAAATATTGCCCTGGAACTTCAACATCTATAACATGGAAGTCGCGCAATACCCTGCTTTCTTCTTCCAACTTTAATACTGCTGGAAACCTATCCTCAACATTGCTTTGAAGAACATTTTTCCAGTGTTTCAACCGCTCAGTCAGTTGAGAGAGGGTAGATGGAAAAGTAGCTGTGCTTTCTGGATCAAGATCACGTTCAAAATCTTGTTTGTACTCCCTCACAAAATCAACATGCTTATTTACAGCATCAGCAGAAAAGCAAGCCCTACAAACACCTGAGAGCTCCTTCTTGAGAGATTGCGGAACTTCTGCAGTTGTAGCAGTTGGATATTTGTAGCAGCGGTGGAGCAATGCATTTACCACTGCTAAAAGTCTCTCTTCGGGAAGAGTGACAAACCTTGAACCAATTTCTGTGAGCAGGATCTGCATAATAAAATGTTGTCCCAATCATCCAACTATTAGTGCTTGCAACACATGCTCAAGATTTTATTTTGAGATACATTGGCACAAAAACAATTCACAAAAATATACAAATCAATTTAATTCAGTGGTAGTTCAATCCAAAGAAACATAACACAAACAACATGAAAGAGGAGCTGCCAGGAAGTGCCAAACAAGTAGAAAACTTAGCTACATATCCAAGTTAATATCCAATATCTACTGTTCTTTTTCATGTGCCTTTGTCCCTAGTTTCCCTTCATGTCTACTTTGCTACTTTGATTTATAGCTCCAATCAATAAATGTATATATACAATTAATTATCTCATAGTTTATCCTAATTCCTAAGTGCTAGCTACCGGGAGAAAGGGTGGAGATCGCGAGGTTGCATAGCATTACTGTTAAACAAAGTAAAGCAACTTAAAAAGTCTGAAAGAATATTACCTCGAGTTCACCAGCCAAATTAGCATGCTTGCCCCTAAGAGCCTCCATTATATCTTTTGCAGCATCAAAAGCACTGGCAGCTGAAGCCACAAAACCTAAAGCACCAGCACGTCTTAAAGTATTTTGACCACCTTCATTGAGATTTGCAGAACCTTGCTGCAAAGGCTGGTCATTTCCATTGTGTATGTTGCTTTCAGCACTTGTAGACCTTTCGGGTTCTTGCCCATGTGAATTTCCACCATCATGAGATCCAATTCCACCTGCAGGCTGGGAGCCTTGGTGAGCTTGAATATCAGATGGCAAGTTACTCCCACCTGGACCTTGCACTCTTGCATTTCCATCAGCCAACCCACCAAGAGAACCAGCACTAGTACCAGAAACACTTTGTTGTGTTCTTTGTTGAGCCATTGCTATTCTACCATGTTCAGATTTATTGGCAACATCACGTCTTTCCAGCAAGTATGTGCGCAACCAATAATACAGAGCCTGAAATTTGGGTGAAGAAACTCAAGATAATTTAGTTTAGGAACTACATAATTTGCAATGACAAATGCAATTATGCAAACAACACTCACCTGAGGATACAAGGTTGCAATCTTCAGAAGAACAAGTTTACAGTGAGGAGCTTCTGTCCTCTGCAAAGAGAGTAAGAGCTGTGGTATCCAGGATAGCCAAACCCAATGTGGTACTTGTTCATAGTACTTATCAAATGCCCTTCCAACAGGCTCATTAGGAGTATCAAAGCTAAGAAGATAAAGAACGCGAGCAAGATGGCTTCTTGAATTGGACACACCAAATTTTATACCTTGCAAGAAGCAGCTAACGGCATATTCCAACCAAATCTCTTCATGAGTTTCTCTGTAAGCCTATTTGAAGTAGATGACAGATAAGTTCAAAGCTCAAGTTAATACTCAATAGTCATAATAAGTAACATGAAAAAAAATACTATTAGTTACCATATCACAGTAGTCTCCCCAGCTTATCCATCCTTTAGGCAAGTTTTTGAAAAGACTAATGGCATTCGAATAAGCAACATTAGCACTTTCAGAATCATTCAATTTTAAAAAGAAGTCTCCTTTCAGACGGAAAATTTCAGCCTTGTGCTTTGCAGGAAAATACTCTAGATTAGTGCTGTTGATCAGATTAATACCACTTGTATGTTCTCCCTTATTTTCTAAGTATGCCTTTGCCTGTTCAGTTATCTTAACAAATGCTTCCTGTAAATACATCAAAAAGAGCATATCAGATCAAATCTATACTAGTTGTCAAATATCAGAGTTCACTGTAGTCAAATATAGAGAGATACATAGGAAATAAAACAGGTATGCTAATGATGTGCGTATATACACAAATATAATTGTTAAGAATTCCTATGTCTGTGCAAGTACCATTCAAATTAATCGAAAAACAGAACTTGCCATATGATGTTTAGGTCAAATTATTACTAGAACAATTATCCATATTATGAATGTAACACCACCCCAGCAACTAGGCTCATAAACAATTCAACATGTATAGATACTGACATAATGACAAAATAACTACAACAAAAGTAGTTATCTTACCTGCACTTCCATGGTTGAATGGCCATATAATTTTTCAAGTATGGTAACACAAACATCAAAAAGGCCTTGCTTACGAGCAATGTGTGCAAGCCTGTTGACAGTCCATGCTTTATCACGGTAACCAAGATGATGAAGTGCAGAATTTGTGGTGCCAAAATCTTTGAAAGCGTCTATTACAGAGTTGTACATTTCATTCCTCCACTGCAGCAAATCATACCAAACAGACATATTATCCCATTCATTTGGAGTTCTTAGTCTCCACGTCTCAAGGATGTCCTTCAGATCAGCATAAAGGTTTCCTTGCACACCAACCACCGAATTGCCAGAGAGTTTATTTCCATTGGAAATATCCATTAGAATTCTGGCTGACTCTTGAACTTCAACTATTTGTTGAAATTGCTGCAAAAGAGGAATTCTGGAATGAACAGACATTTCAGGCAGCTGCCACCATTGCTCTAGAGCATGATCAACTCCTTTACCTACCATATTCTCAGCATCCCCGACGCCATTTGTATTTTTATCATGAAGAGCAAAGTATGCCTGAATTAGACGAAGCTTTGGAGTTTCTTCCACTTGAGCTTTGGGAATGACATGCTCCTTCATATATGTCCAATCAGGCAATTTCCAAAGACTGTCAAGCAGAATTTCATAATTCTCAACACTCTTGCCAAAGTCTGCGAGCGCATCCCATTGACTAAGTTGACTAGCACAGTACAACCATTGCTCTTCCCATAGACACATCTCAGCCTTAGGAACGGTGTTGTTATATGTTCCTTGAGTTGCCTTCACCATGGCTTGATAAAAGAGACTTTGGGCACGGTGCCAGTAACCGTGCTGAACAAGAGAAAGCCCAGCCCGGGTTTCTGCAGTGACTGATCTCTTCTTCCACAGACCACATCTCATATCCTCTTCATTGAGCAAACGATAGAGCTCAGCCAGAGACTCAGAGCATTTAGAATCATTCGGGAACAACATAACATGACTTTCCAGCAAAGCCAGTGCAATGTGCCATGCATTATAAGTTTTCCCAATATATTTAATGAGCTCACTTGGCATTCTAGGTTGCGGATGGCTCAACTGAAGCCCTTCTAATAGAGCTTGCACTACATTTGGTCTGTTGGCTTGCTGCCTCTTATGGTAATCTTTAGACAAAAGATTAATCATTGGTTTAGCAAGTGTTACTTGCTCTTCTTTATGCAATGTAACCCAGACAATTGGAAATACCAGCACCCATAAATGATATGCAACATTAGCATCTGTGTGGGCTAACTCTCTCAATGGAATTAATAGATCAGCCACCTGGAAGAATTTTTATCATTGCGTGAGAAACGGCAAAACACTTCCGAATAACTGAGCACAACAGATAATTAAAATTTTATAATGTGTCACAGAAAACAGTGATGGGACTGTAATCCTCTTCAATTTGGAAATCTGAAGTAAAATGCCAAACAAAAAAATACCATTTAAACATTTTTCGCTTTAACATATAATATCCACAAAGGTTACCAACAAAGGTAAACCTTGCCAACCGAAATATTTTGCAACAAGGAGTTTCAACGGCTTGTGTTTTCTGTCAATCAGAGGAGGAGTCTATTAGTCATGTCTTGTTTAGTCGCAAACTTGCCTCTCAATTTGATATGATTGCTATAACTGAATTGGTAGTAATTGGGTAATGCATTGTGATCCTATGGCCAACTTGGCACAACACAATTGCCACTGGCTGGGCAAAGGCTCTAGTAAGGCTTGGAAAACTGTTTGGTGCTCAGTTGTATGGTCCCTATGGAAACTTAGAAATGACATTATTTTCAAAGGAGGGCAACTAGATTTTGATAGCAAGAATGAAAAAGTTAGGTACTAGCTTGGGTTTGGATCTCTTCTATATGGAAACGTGCTTCATTTTCGTTTTATGAGTGGTACTCAAATCCTCAGTTGTGTGTCAAATTGCTTCGCTAACTTGGTAGGATGGAAGAACAGAGGAAGCACTGCAATTATAAGTCCTGGGTTTGTTGGAATTAACTACTGAACTGTTTGTTTGTTGGTGTCTTTATTTTTGCGAAGGGAATGTATCTATGATTATTGATTGGGTGGAGGGCTTGAATGTAGATACTATAGGCAGGTGGAAAGCTGTCAATATGTTGGTAGTGTATGGTTGGGGTGTTGTAGTGGTGGTTATTGGATATGTATACAACTTTGATGTATATAGCCTATAACCATTGGATGTCAACACCGTTTTGTAAACCTCGAGCACCACTGGTGCCTTATATAAATATATATTAATATTTTGTTGCTTCAAAAAAAAATCCACATACTACTGTGCCACTACTATATCTTGGACCTTCAATAGGTAATAAAATAACAATGGCAGTTAAACTAAAAATATACAACCTTAACTATGACAGACAATAACAGTTCTTAAAACATTAGTTATTAAAGATTTAGTTTACCTGGAGTTTGCTCATGCTATTAAGAAACTGGGCATGCTTAAGCACAAGGGTCTCAAACGTTAGTGGAGCATCCTCAGATCCTTCAGATACATCATTAACCTTGTGTGGCATCCCAGATAATTCCAGAATAGAACTTGACACCAAAAGTGGTTGAACCCTGGCAGAATTTGGAGCTAGTGTAATAGGTTTATCCTCAACTAATATCGCCAAGAGTAGATCAAGGCCTTGTTTGAGCCAGAAGACATCACTCAAAGCGCCCCAGTCTTGAATTTGGATAATAAACTGAAGTCTGGTAAAAAGAGTTTTTCCAAGAGACTCATGATAGAGAGAGAAAAATTTCATCCTAACTTGGGGATCTCTGGCTCGTAAACCAAGCATAAATAGCCTTTCCACCTTCTGAAAGACCTCTTGACGCAAGGGTAAAGGGTATCTGGAAATCATTTAAAAATAATCAAGACAATACAATTCAAGCATAGCTCAGACAAACATAAGATGAATAACTTACTTATTTGAATCTGCACAAATAGCATAAAGAAGTTCAAGATATTTCTTGTCCCACTCTTCCAGAGAAACTGGTGTGAAGTTTTGTTTATCAACTTGTGAAAGCTTTTGAAGAAAAGAAACTATCTCCTTAGGAGTGAGAAAGGCACTTGGTGTGACTGAAGTTCCTTGTTTACATGTGTCATCTTCAATCCACCCTTTAACCACATCAAGTATACAAAGTAGTACACTAGCATCAATTCCTTTCTCGGAGAGTAAAGCATTCAATATTTGAGATACAGATCGCTTGCACTCAGTAACAACCATCACTCTATCAGTGATAAGTTTCAAAATTGATTTTAGATTTGAAATAACTGCTCCAACATCAGCACCTTGACGAGAAGATGTGACTGCTGAATCTGGATCTGTTCTCTGACCCTAATAATTTATCAAGTCAAAAGAATTGAAACAGAAAAATGAATCAAGCTTACGGGTTATAGACTTGAAACAAAAACAAACCACACAACCAATAAGACAATATATGTTAATCACACAAGAATAGCCAGGATAAACTTCATTTAATATATACTATATCAGAGTCAGACTAAAGAAACAGAGGCAGCAAAAGGGAACAGGGAATGCCTTCTTTACTAGAAAGAACAAAGGTCAAGATGCCTTCTGTATTTTAAAATCAATGTCTAAATATCACCTTACCTAAGAAAAAGAAAACCTGCAAGGTATAGGTTTTACTAGATTACCATGGAACTTTATTTTCAAGCAGCATATATGAAAGATATAAATAGAAACTGGTATTTTTCCAAAAAATAAATATAGGAACTGACATAAGCACTTCACTACTTCACTTTGGTTAAAATTAAGCACATCTATAGTCAGACAGTATCATTAGCTTTTACTGACTCGGTGAAAAGTACTGATTAACTATCATTTAGGAGATATTTTTAATTTAATGCATGCATCTGGAATCTCATTTTTCAACACTCCAGGAAAGTGAAAAACAGGCTCTACTCCTGAGAAGCAAATGCATCTTCTCAACTGGAAGACAGTGGAAGAAAGTAGGCTTGTGAACCAGAGATAGAACTGTTGACTGATTTATCATGTATAGTTTTCCTCTAAATTCTAACTCTGACTCTTTTTGTTTCTACTATAATTTTGATTTTAATACTACATTCATGTTATGCCTAGACAATAAAAATTATGAATACAAAAAGGAAAATCACATACTTGTCTTAAATGAGACCCTGCAGATGAACCCATATCACGTTGCAGTCGTTGAAGGATGCGAACCAAAATTGAAGGATCAACAAAGTTCCTTTGTACCTCTGTCAAGGTTTTTATGACAAGCAACAAGAAACTGATTGAACTAGCATTATTATCATCACTAGACGTTTGAAGAGCTGTGACAGTGGTAACATGCTTCTGTATCAAATCATCAAGTTTCTGGTACAACAACTTAACATCAGCAGGTGTGGTAGTTGCTTCTTGAGGAAAAGCGACAAAAATCATCTTCAACAGTGAGCAAAAAGATTTGCCAGCATCTAAAAGTTTATGCTTGAAACATGGTTCAAGAATCTGGGAAGGAAAAAAATTATTCAGCTACAAAAGTGGAGTCATTGAGCAGATCAGAAAAATAAAAAATAAAAAAATAATGTTATAGGCCTACTTGAGAAATCTGGTTAATGTTATTTCTTATGAACAAGTGAGGTTGTTTCTCTAAAACTTTGTTCATGACATCCAAACCCTGTGCCAGTGCAGTGGATGGATCCTTTGCTTGAGATGGCTGTATACTGCTCAGAAGCTTTTCCAAATAATTAAATTTTACATTTGCATTCGGCCACACCTCCAAAGCTTGTGAAAGTAGCTCCAAAGCTTGTTTGTACATGGCACTTGCTTCTTTGTCCTTAGGCTCTATGACCAGCGCAACCTAATCCCATAAATAAGAGTTAATCATCAATGACATCCTCAGAAACAGAATCATTTCAGCAAGCAATCATTCTTTTGCCTCAGCAAAGGAGTACCATATCAGTCACTGTCATTCATATATACGCACTTGTCATCTCTAGATCTCAAAGAGCAGGTGACTAGGAAGCACAAATATGACATGGGACACAAGGATTTGATAAAATTTTAAAAATCACTTAGGATATGCTAGTATCAATACAACATATAAAACTAATCTAAAATTAACATAAAATATCTTTAATAACAATAGGAAGTATCAGAGTACATATTTTGAAAATGAGTATGAGTCATTGTACGCATAATAAGATGTTAAAAAAAAAAAACTATCATGGTATCCAATTTGTATTGGTATAAAAGTTTAAGAAAAACGTAATAAACTTATAAGTAAAAATTGGGTTAAACAATCCCATAGAAAATAATTAGAGCAATTTAATTGCACCAATCATTTTCTATGGGGTTGTTTAACCCCATTATTACTTGGAGTAAAACAGTCAACCCTAACTTGTAAAAATGCAATGAAACATATTCAGTGTCCACATAGGTTCACAGTGGGCAGACACTACTATGACATGATACAACTACTACTTAGAAGTGTCCGTGCTTGGGCAAGTGAAAATTAAAATACTAAGAAAAAAATAAGTTATCCATTGAACCATTAATCCAAAACGATGGAAAATAAGAGCTAAACAAACTATAAATAGGATTAGAATAAAAGAAAGATGGTATGACAATGCAAGTATTAGCCTCATCAAATTCAAACTTTTTCAAGCATTAGGGATAAGAGCAACATATAACTCAGATTATAATAAAAGAAAGACAGTATGGAAATGCAAGTATCAACAACATCAAATTCAAACCTTTGAAAGCATTAGAGAAAGCAGTCACAATTTAAACATCCACATCATTAAATATTGGATAGTGTTTTACCAAATGTAAAATATCTTGCTATGAATTAACCAAATGGCATCATCCCCATGCAAAATGTAAAAAAGGTGGTTAGAAGTAGGACTCACTCTGATAAGAAAATTGATAATCATTTCCTCCATTGCAGCATTTGGTTTAAATTCTTCATCAGGTTGACTGGCAGATCCCGGGGTTTCAATGTTAGTGATTGATGAAGGACCACCAGGGGACATGACACATAGGGATTGCAGACCGGGTTCTGCTTTTACTCGCTTAGTTGTATCTTCAGGAAACGTGGACCCATCCACAGATCGCTTAGAATCAGCAGAGCTAGGATTAAAGGCATCATTGATTTGGTTGGGTGCATCAGAATCAGTAACAACTTTCATCTCATTTTGTCTTTGCCTCTCCCAATTAACAACTAATCCAGCGAGTTCAATGGCAAGACGCCTGTTTTCTGCAGTGGTATTATAAGGCAATCCAAGGCGACTGAGAGAATTCACCATCTGAGGAACAAACTGTGCTCTGCAGCTGTAGAAGAGATCCGAATGGCGGACAATAAGTTGGAATATGTGAATAAGATTCGGAATTGAATGACCTTCTTCAACAAGGATTTTCTTGGTGTATCTTATCCATATGGGCATCCGAGAATCACCAAGAGGCAAACGTCTTGGAAGTGCTGGCATTAGAATATCAAGAGCCTGCTTGACCAACATTTTATTTTCTGGTTGGCAAGTCCTGAGAAGAGCAACAAAAACCTGCGGTTGCAAAACAGTGTAAGGGTACAGATATATACACAATAAAGACAGTATTTCAAAGCACTTTCAGATTTCGGATAAAGCCCAAAACTCCTCTCATTAGCTAGGCTCAGTAAAAATTCTGTTCAATCTAGAGGCCTCTAGTTTCAACTTGAAAGCTCTTTAAATCCCAGTAAAACACTCAAAATGCAGAAGATTATCTCCAACTTCTATGTCAAACCCATAAGATCATAACACGGGACAGAAACTAGGAGATGATTACATTCCATAAAATCTGGCCCCTTCAAGAGAAAAATATGAAAGATATATGTGAAATATGTTCAACAATCCAAAAGACTCAGGTACAATATTCTCTACTTTTTTTAAAAACAGTGTAAACAGATTGTCCATATTTTGCAACAAAGCATCACCTTACATTTCCATTTAATGGTGCAACCTCAGACCTCTATTAGTCTCCTAAGAATATTTTATCCTACACTTCATGGTTACACTTTCACAGTAGGCATTCAAATTAAAAAATTATAGGAAGTAAACCCAAGTGATTAGCAGGAAATGCTTTTCCATGATAAAAATATTTCACTCAATCATTTAGATGGCAACTAGCCATGGTGTTAAAGTATGCAATTAGCATGCCATATTTTGTATATTCTGCCACACGCATTAATTGTAGCAAATTTGTCAGACTGATAGGCGAAATAAAGACTGTTAGATATTTGTTAAATTCAATTCTAATAGTCTCGCATCTATAACTAATCTCTTGCACTTTTCACCATTTTCTCTCATTACATTCAATGTCTCACTCTCACCTGCTCATGTTTACAAGATAAAATGAGTAAAGGATATTTTAAAATAAGTCAATGCTTCCATACCTGGAGTATTATTTTTTCTGGGGCTTGATATGCCTCCAAGAAATGGCAGACATTCACAAATGCCCATTGTTTGCTTGCAGTGTCTTCACGCTTAAGATGATTCCACCCAAACTTTATCAGTTCCTTCCTATGATGGACAAGATCATTCTGAAGATATTTAAGAAGTAAAGTGGCAAGCTGCAATAGTTCTATTCTTAAAGGCTCATCATACTCAGCAGAAACCTACAGAAGAGGGACACAATGCATTGAGAGACATGTAAGAACTTACAAAACTGTATCACAAAAACTGAATCATGAAAATTTCAATGAAAGGCCATATAAGAAATTACAAAAAATTAGAATGTACCTCCTCTGGTGGATCAAGAAGTTTATCAACAATTGTTTTTATGATAGCAGGATCAACAACTTCCCAACTTTGACCATTTTGAAAGGCATGTGCAAGCATTGGAAGAATCAGCATTTGCATCACAATCACTAAATGCTCATGACCAAGTTGTTTTGATTGGAAAAGGCTGAGAAAATGCATTAGAAGAGACTTTTTCATGCCTGGTGGATAGCCTTCAGCCACCTAAAAGGCACCAACATAATCAAATATAAGAATGAGTTGAGATCCTAACAGAAATTTTAAATCCAATTATGAAGTACCTCAATAATGTAAAACTCCTTCAGAAATGTATAGTCAATCCGACTATGAAATAAGAATATGGTAAGTATATCAAAGAGAACATTCACTTCATTTTTGTCATGTCTCAAGTAATTAAGGAAGCATTTGACAAGCCACTTGCTTTCTTTAACCTGCAATTCCATAATGACCATGAAAACAAGTTAACCAGCCACTTAAAAGACCAGACAAATTAATATATGTACAGTTAAATATTTAAATTTAAAATATACTAAAACTTAATAGATGAGACAGCCAAGAAAACCCCCAAAAAAAGAGTAAAATCAGCATTTGGACAGAGGTAGAAAATACCATGAATACTAAATTCATCACAGAAAACAAAGCAGTAATAGAGATAATGATAAGAGAAAACTTTATGCAGATAATGGGTACAATATGCATATTACTTTCCAAATGGCATATAGTAAGTGTGCAGTTGCAGTGGTAGAACACCACAATAAAAAATGTAAATAACTTCAAATGTTTGCTAGGAACCTAGAATGAGCTTCCAAGTACTACGTAGTGTGGCCTAATTTTAATACATAGATAGATAGATATATATAGATATATAGATTGAATAATGACATCATATTGTACACTCACAACATAATTGGAGAGAGGGGAGATGCAACAAAAAGATATGGCCATGCATCTAAAAACATTCCTTATTAAGTCCAAAGAGAAAATATCTAGTAAAGAAACCAACAAAATCAATACAAACAATTCAGTCGAGGCAGCAAATGTTTAATCAAGAAAAATAAAGCCAAAAGTAGACTGCAATGAAGTAGCAACTTCTCCCAATATGCTTTAACCATAAAGCAAAGCCAAGGGTTTAACATATGCCTTAAGAAACACAGCTTTGAAAGTTGGTGGCTGACACAGACAAGTAAATTCACAGAAAATAGCATTAAGAAGACGAGTCTTTAAATCTAAAGCCTAAATGTGAGTTATTGTTTCCTCTTCCAAAACAGTCTATTTCTCCCATCATCTTAAGTCTGGATCCATGTCCACAGGGGAATTGCTGAAAATAAATCATAAAGTCTGAAGCATTAAAAACAAATCACTGCTTGAAGAATTCAACGAATGCTTATTGCTGCTTGCCAAATCAAATGGTTCTAGCATCAGCAGCAATTGCAAATTTGCAATGCTGAAGATGTCAGCAAAAAGCTGGACTCAAACAGTTGAGAATCTGGAGCCCATCCGTACACTATTGCAGTTATAGTGTGGTAGAGCTTACGAGATCAAAAGCAAAGAAAACAATTAAAACTTTTATATATCTTTAGTATGCTATTAAATTGAAATTGTTCATGCATCATTGAATAATAGAAACAATAAATCATTAAAAAAAATTCCTCAATCAACAATGATGATACAACTAAAACATTGAAATTGCTCACACTCACTTGCACTAGGTTCAGCTCCTGTTCTTTTTGCAACCGGGATATTCTTGCAGGTGATTTCCAAACAAGTACCAATGTATCAAACACACTACGATTACTTTGTAACCAACCAGGGATTAATTTGACCAGGGTTTTTATCAGTGCTAGTCCCTGAAAGTAAGCATCAGATGTTGCATTGGGAGGAGGAGCAGGTGGATTAGAAGCATCAGTTGATGGAGCAACAACACTTTCTTCACCTAATATAGTATGTGTGCTTGTGGATGCAGGAGCCATTGTCACATCAGGTTTTGGTAGAAATTCAGGGAAAGCACTTGCAAGTATCTTTTGTGGTGATTTCGCAAGCTCATCTCTCAATGACTGGCCAGCTTCTGAACGAATTATATACATGAAACTAAATTTACAGCAAACATTAAAATAAACAATGTCAGCACCCAACCTTACTTGGTATATATAATTAATGTTCAGTAGTCCCAAACTTACCGCCTGAAATACTTTGGTTCACTTAACCGAGCAAGGAAATAATCAACTGCAAGGGGTGCATAACGATTTAAAAACTTTGTAAGGGGAAGGCGATATGGACTATTGATTTCACTATATACTTGTCCTGGGGGAAGAGCTCCTTCCAAATCAATAGTCAAGGTTACAAGTTCATCAAGGAACTTTGAAGCAGCAGGAGGAAGCAAGTGAAAAAGCTCAATTATAGCTACAACAATAGAGAAGATGTGTCAGGGCAAGTATGAACTAAGGAAGTTGCATTAGAGAAACTTGTGTTAAATAGGTTAAACCATTGATAAAATACCTGCAGCAATTTTAGGTTCTTCACCAGCCTTCCATGACTTCTGACTCTGTGCCAACTTCTCAGGCTCCAGCCACCTCTTTAGATGCTCTAGAAGTTTGCCACCCAAGGTAACATTAAACCAATTGGATAACAGCTCAAGCAAGCGGGCTAGACCAAGCAGAAGAGGCATGCTGAGATTTTTTGTGTGCGCCAAATTGACCAATATAGGCCTAAGGCTGCTTTGTAGAAGTTCTTTGGGCATCCTTTGATTAATTACCTACATTACAGGGTGACAAAGATGTAAATGAGGTTGAAAAATAATTCCAATTCTATTAAAAGCATGCATGCAAAAACTAAGGCAAACATACACAACTATGATGCACAGCTACAATATGTATAGTATCCAATATGGAGATACAATTATTCAAAAGTTATATAGGATACGATTTGTGTTAAGATATATATACACACACACATATATCTCAAAACTTAAAACTGGAATAGAACCATCACAATTGTAAAAGGTGGGTTCTCTATTCTTAGAATTGGAAGAGAAAAGCCTCTTCTATAATTTTAGGATCTATAATACTTTAGATTCATGAGAATAATGGAATTAATAATATTCTTAAATTCTCTCCAGTCCACTATTTCCTAACTCCATTATGTACTAGTTATAACTAATTACATTAGAATTTAGAATTTTAATTATGAATATGCTTTTAATTTTGGGAGCATTTACATGCAGTATAATTTATTTAATTTGTATAGAAAATATCCAATATAGCAGCCATCCTGGTATCCGTGATCCATTCATTGCACTTTTGGGTTTGGCAACTCCATCCACTATTTGTGATTGATAACTCGATAACTCTGATTGGAAAGAAATGATCATGGACATGATAGGCATCAAGCCTTCAAATACTCTATGTGTGTACACATCATTAGGGATATATACGTACATACATTGTGATCAAGCCAAAGAAGAAGCCGAAACAATACTGATACATCATAAAAGTTATCTGTACCTGTCGCAGGCCCTCCTTTGCAACAGCAACAATTTCCGGAGTTCGACAGGTTAAAGACTTAAAAAACATTGAAATGATCTTGGCACGCAATTCAGCATGATTTGGAGTTTTAAAATCAGCCCATGCCATTGTCGTACAAAGCAGCTCAATGCAAGCTGTTCGAAGTTTAGTCAACGATGTCATTACTTTGGGGTTGATAAACTTAGCAACCCAGGCATTGTCATCAGATTCTGCTATTTGCAAGGCTTCTTGCAGGAAGTTAACTAACTCTGGAGTCAACTTGAGAAGAGGTGGCCTCAATGCTAGACAAAAATTCAATGCTGTAACTGTTCCAACCTACACAAGATATAATCAAGTAAACTAGTGAATCGATAAAAGCTCAAAGAAAGATCAAATTAACAGCCATCAAGAAATAAGAAAATGTACTTGTTGATCAACAGTCTTTAACTTAAGTGACCGCACAATAAGTGGCTGGAGAAAAGGTTGATACAGTGGCTCAAGTAATTCTGACACCTCACTACCCGTCCTGCTAGCTAAAAGTGCCAGGCATAATTGTACATTCTTTCTCACAATGACAGATGCATTCTGGTTGAACAACTCTTGAGCAAGAAAATCAACTACTCCTTGAAAGCTTTGCTTCCGTGCCTCACTATTAGCTTCATCAGCATTATTTACCACTCGAAGAACTTGTGTGAGCACTTGGCTTGTCTCCTCCTGCTCCTTGCTAGCATATATAGGAAGCTTTTTAAGGACATATATTAAACCACGCACAATTCTTACTTGAAAAAGGCAGAGTGTCTCAACAGTGACCTTTCCAACCAAAGCACCCAATCCCATGACACCACCCATTTGTGCTTGCCACGTAAGTCCATAGCAACAATGCAGAAGACGGGGCAAAAGTTGTTCAAATACAGGAACATGAACACTGGGGGGTGGAGAATATACAGGGTTCATTGATGGACTAGAGACAATCATTGGTGTTCCTGGCCCTCTGGACATTATAAAGTCAGTATGTTTTGAACGAGCTAGGAATACAAGTGTTTCTGCAAACACATTTAAAGCACCAAGAGCAGCTTTGGCATGGAGCCTGTTTTCATCTGCTAGAACATCAACTAAAGCATCCAAGAATATCAGAGGGTCTAGCTCCTTCAAATTTGAACAAGCATTGTTTTTTAACCTAGAACCAACATGAACACTATTTGAGAGTGATGAACCCCCAAGTGCAGTTGCTGATACGTTGCTGGATGAAGAATCGATGTGAAATATCACTGCAAAATGGCGACATATATTGACAACAAAATCATCTGTAGGATCTGTGAGATCTGGCTCACCATTGGCAGCAACAACAGTCATCAAAAGAATCTTGAAGACAGACTTCTCAGCCATAAGTTGGGTCTTTGTCTTTACACCTAAGTCAGCCTGAAAATGAGGTGGTAGAAACAATATACTATACATAAGCCCATCTGACTACCATGTGTAAGTACTGAGAGTAAAATACCGGAGAGGATAAGAGACCAACTGAATTAGAGCACCCAAAGGTAACCACAGTATGAATGTGATAGAGTAAAAAAAGACTAACAGTAATGAACTGTGATAGACTATTTTATAATTTGATTAGACTGTCATGGAGGAGTGATCCATGAACATGGTGCACCTAGAGTTATTTAGTTCTACACTTAATCAAAAGTGACAGCACAACTATTACAGGATATGAAATGTACTTGAACAGTAACAAACTAACCTTGACATCCATTAACTCAGATCTGCGTGATGATTGATCAACAGTAGAAACTAACAATGCAGATAGCTGCTTGGATGTAGATCCCTCATCAGCAACACTTCCGGGCAAATTGAGCTGAGATGATAGGCAAACTCGAAGGAACTTTAGAGCTTGCTTCCGATAGAAAGCATCCATGCCACAATTTTTGTTCATTACAGCTTCCACAGCAAGATTTATGCATCGATCAAGAGGCACCAAGAATGGGGTTGCAGGCTCAAATGTCAAAATCAGGCGAAGCCCATGCTCAGGATTCTCCTTACACTCAAGTGCCAGAGGCTCTTTGAGGAATCGTCTGTTTCGGCCTCCTAACTTGCCAAGAAGCTGCAATGCTTTTGCACCCCAGGAATAGGGAGCTGGTCTTAAGTGAGACCACAAGGCAAGAATCACCTCAGATATAACACTGGCCATGATGGGTTCAAGGAAATCAGGATTTAAACTATCAACCCAAAACTCAAGTGTTCGTAAACCAAGACTCACTAATTCGTCACTTCCCTTGAGACATAGTACCAAAGGCTTCATAAGACGAGAAAGGTATGGTAACAGAGAGCTCAAACGAGCAGGTAAGGTCAAGCAGAGCTCCAATAAAAGATCTCTCATATCTTCGCCAGTTGGCCCTTCCAGCATAGCCAGCAGCATATTAAGGCAGGGCTGCAACATGGGGACCAAATCCCGGAGCAAAAGTTCATACTTGCACCCTGAAAGTGCCTTGAACATTGTACGAAGCAACTGCATGTAGCCAAGAGGTCTTTCAAGTTCAGTGGCATTTTTCATGCAAAATTCCATTATAACAGGGGCATGAGGCTGCAAAATCCGTTCAAAATCAGATGGTGCTTTAGCAACGGCACCAAATATAAACCGAAATAGATGCAAAACCAGTTTTGCTGCAGGTGAATCTGGTTGCTTCAAGACATCAAGTTTGCTGCTCACGAGAAAATTAACAAGCACATCAGCAAATGGCCGGTACACTTTTGGGGCTGCTAGAAGGGTAGAGAATATATGGACAAGTTGAGTGTTGGAGATCATGCACTCAAAAAGCTCAGGCATACACAGGGAGAACATATCCATAAGATCACGAGGTTCCATGATGGCCAAAATCTGTGAGAAGAGATGCAGCATTTCCCTCTCCTCATCCTTCTCCTTGAAAAGTGCCAAGCAATGAACACCATTTTTTAAAACACCTGAAGCTTTGCACACCTACACAAGACTCTTAAGTCAACTTAACCATTAAACTTAAAAACACTGATGTTAAAGTTAAGCCTGACTTTAGTACCTCATCTTCTCTCATGCCCCTCAATGCTTGAGGTGTTGATAAATTAGAAGATGGTGAGACAAGAGCCTGTAATATTCCATGAATACGGAAAATCTCATACATGTGAAACATTATAGGAGTCAAGGGAGGGTGGGGTTGGCAAATTCATGGTCAGAAATTATTATACCAAGGATGCATTACCTGTGGTCTAGGGGAGTGTGCATGAGTGATGCTCCATATGATGGTCTTCATTCCTGAAAATTATAAAAAGTTATAGAAGAGACATAACCATATAAAAAAATGCATATATTTATGAATCATAAAATAAGGGGGCAAAAAGCAATAAAATTAGACAAACAAATGGCACAATAAAAGCATAAAGATAAGAAACTACTAGGGATGATAGTGGATCCAATCCAATCATTAAGTCAGACATAGACCAATCCAAACTAGAGAAACACAGGTTGATTCAATTATTTGGATCAAAAAGAGCTTGACAGGACCCTTATCAGAAAATCAGATTAGATATTCACTCTATCCAATGAACCCACAACCTTAAATTTCTTCTTTTCATTTCTTTACAATTTTTTTTCTATTTTATTTGGATTTCTTAAATATTGTTTAAAAATTAAAAATATATATACAAATATATGTATAATATGGAATTTTATTGCTTTGTAATGTTATTTTAATTTTTTTATCAATACATTATTTTAAATTTTTAATAAGTAAAAAAGTAATAAATATATCTATCAATCCAATGACAAGATCTAATGCCAACCATTTAATCAAGTTGGTTTGGGTTAGGTTAGTTGGAAAAATTTAACACTGATCTGATCCAACTCAATTAAATTTAATTACATTGAAATTCATTTTGTCAAACCTAATCCAACCCAATCCATGATCACACCTATGAACTACAGAAGGTTTAAGGATATAAATTACCCATCACTAATGTCTTAATCAAATGTTTGCAATCATTGACCTCCTTTGAATGCTCCACAGGAACCTGCAAAGCCAAAACTGCCTGCAAAGAAAACATGGACCATAAATCAGATAAAGCAAAACACAGATATCAGTCCAACAATGCAGAATTAAAAACAACAGCAATAGTAGTAGTGTTTTAATTCAACTCAAGACACATAATTGTTTACCATTCCAAATTTCTTTTCTTTCTATACCAATGAGTAATATTTCTGTTTCTTTCCAGAAAATTGCAAACATAGTACAAAATAAAGCAAATCATGGCAATCAGACACCACACCAAAAGTGAAGATTAACATCCAAGCGTCATTATATAGCCTGAAAGAGAATCTCAAACAGAAGTTGTCTAACAACCTGCACAGGAAGTTCAAGCTTTGATCTCAAGGTAGCACGATCCTTTCCTTCCTCACCTTCCTCCAAAAGCTATAAAAATAATAGCAATAAACTATATTACTGACAGATCGTGAAGAAACTTGGCAACAATAACCTGTAGATTGAAATTAATAAAAGTGAAGCATGATATATGGAAGACACTGCAAGACTAATTAGAAGTAATTGATCAGCCACCTGAGCCAAAAGCTCAGGTGGTAATCTGACTCTCCATCAGATATCCTAAAAACAAAAACAAAGGTCCTTTGTCAGAAGCATTCTCAGTTGTGAATAAATTGATTGTACAGAGGAAATGTTCACAGAACAATTTCAAACCAATGTCAGGGGTACATGGAAACTTATAGATAGACATAATTATAGGAACCCTCTTAGATTGTAGGTTATGAGCCCAATTCAACCATACAAAACCAGCATGTAAGGTGAAGGTTGTCCTTCACTTAAATACTCTTTGTTTGCCTTATCCTAGTCACTGTGGGACTTGGGTTTTTTCCAATTAACCCAAGAAGCATAACAGTTAAGAATAAAAGCCGACAAGGCAAAGCAGTTAAGAATAGTCACAGATTTAGTTAGGTAGTTAAGAGAAGTTACAAAATTAGTTACAGTTGGAGTTGTAGGGGCAGGAATAATAGCAAGGGAGTAAAAGAGAATTCATTCTAAATTGTTAGCATTTAGGAACCAATCAGTAGCTTAGTTGTTAAAGGAAATGAAGGAGACCCTTGGAAAGAGAATTGTTCCCCTTTTTTCTGTTTGTCATTCAATTTACATCACAGAACACTTCTTTTTTCCCCCTCTATTCTCTGTTTTCTCATCTCTGTGAAATTTCAGGCTTAGTTGTTGGGTTCATTACAGATGGGAATTTGTACACGGACAGTGAAAAAGAAAATGAAAAGGGGAATATTAAAACACTGCAAGAACCTCTACCTCACACAGTTTGACTACCTTCCCCTCACCTCTCCACCTGCTAACCCATTCCCACTAACCAATATGTTTTTAAGCCCCACCACCAACAGGACAGGTTATTACAACACACCCTCATCATGCGCTAATCACGATTACCTAGCACTACTCACAACAGCTTCCAATCCCCCTATTGATACTCCCTTCAAATCTTGTGCCTTCTTTAAATACTTATGCTAACTAGATATGTTTAGGAGTTTAGTTGAAACCTTGGAGTTAGAATTTTTTTTTAGAAAAGAAAATCATTAAGTAAAAAAAGAAGAGTACAAAGGAAGAATATATAACCTAGAAACCAAGAGACTAAGTCATGTAACAAATCATTTCAAACTCTCTGCTGCCTTGCATAAAAGAAACATTTTCACAAATATCAAGAGTAGAACAACACAGACAAGCTGAAAAAACAACCCTATCTTTAGTTCCACTGAAAATTCTAGCATTCCTTGCCAGCCATCAACATTCAACACCAGAGAACTCCAAAGGCAAAGCCCTACCCCCAAATCTTAGATTCTTCACAAAAGCCAAAATCTCTAAATTAATAAGGAGAAACTGAAGCAGATACTTAGGTAAGACCTAATTTGCATCAAAATCCCAAAAAGCTTATTCTAAAGAAAATATGCAGCTGAACAATAAAAAAATAAAAAGATGAGTCCTGGTTTCTAAATTATCACAGCATATTAGAAACATATTAGGACATCAAGCCGTGAGTGGTCTTTGCTTTGGTAGCAGGCAATACTCACCTATCACTTCAGTACAAATCATCGAAGCAAAAACACCAAGATTTGTTGTTATGTTGTTTCATTTGCTACTAAATGAAACAATCAGCTAGTTCACACTTATCAAAACTTGCAACTTCAATGTTTATGCTACCTTGAGTTAAAATATTACAAAAATTGTATTTATATTATGATTGAATTCCATTGATGTTTATTTTTTATATTAACAATAAGATGTCTCGCATTACCCAGACTCATTTTATAAAATTCCAAATCCAAATTTGAGAAAACTCCCTTAAAAAGAACAGGTGCTTTGAACCAGATAGAAGCCAAACACTTACGAAATGTGCTTAAAAATGTGTTTTACTCCGAGAATATGGTCGTGCTCAACCCAAGAAAGGTTATCAATAATAATCCATAATAATTGAACTACCGATACACAATTATAATGAGGCAGTTGTTAGGCATAACATGGAACTATAAATTGATCCAAAGTAACCTGGGGAATTGTCCGTTTGAAAGTACTGAATTTCCCGACAAAAGCGTCCAGAATGCGACCCTACAAAACAACACAATTTATGTCAATCCCAGAAGGAGATAAAGTAAAATACCAAATTGCCAAAATCTAACAGAAATCATGCAAGCAGACCAATAGAATCCTTGCATCATCGGTAGATTGTTGATCTACCCCTTTCTCAAAAATTGGTTCCACCTGTATCAAATGGAAAGAACATAATAAGACTACAGGAATTTAATCGGATAACACATCCTAAATCTCTTCTTTTTGGGAGAAGGGGAAGACAGATATTAAAGAGATTTTGCATGTTATCATGAAATAAGTTTTTTTAACACTCTAGAAGCAGCCAGAAAAAAGTGGTTTTTTAGGAAAAGTTTACTAGAGAAAACAAGATACACTCCAAAGCAAAAACAACATAAAGGGAAATAAAAATAATAATACAACCACACACCTCCAATCATATTAAAAATAGTTAGTCAAGCTTTGAAATAACTACAAGCTAAACACCATAGAGAAACTAAATAAACAATCATGTTCTAATTCCCATTTCCCAAAGCTAAGGAAGCAGCGAACTAAGTTTATAATAGCTTAAAATGAACACCACAACCAATATAATCTTAGTACTTTTTTCTACAAAACCCTTGGAGCTAATAGTCAGTGGAGACAGAAGTTGGAAAATTAAGACAGAAAATAAAATTAACTATTATTAAGAAGAGTTAGAATAAGCACCAGATTCAACATCAAGCGAGCACAAGTGGTGTGGATGCTCAATGATAAAGAAGCGTCATGCATATTACTTGAGAACAAGTAAATAATTCGCGACAACTGCAACCATATAGAATTCAAATTAGCAAGATCACATCTAGCAGAAACTGTCAGTTAAAGATATTTGCAGCAACACAATGATCCAAAATATTATGTCATCCAATTCCGAACAAATTTCCATGTATATATAAATATCAATCATCATCTTACCCCCATCAAATATTTAAACTCTTCCCAATAAATTTCTGTCGACTATAAATCAATAGAACTATCATGTATATTTAGTTAAAAAAAAATATTACAGGTAAATTTGGGACTTAGACTGCCAAATCATTTCAGATCTACACACCAGCCAAAAACATTCTCTTTTTACTCTTCACAAAATCTCCAATTGCTCAAAACTCTGCACAATTTTTTCTTGAATTACTACACCCTTCTTTATGGCTTGTCAAACTTTAATTTTTAGTTTCGAACATATGTTTGGTTCAATTACTATAATCTTCTGGTAGTTATTTTATTTTACTTTGATAAAATTTATATGATTTGTTTAAAGAGCAAACCCTCATTTAGTCCTTAAAAGCTTTTTGGAAAATTAAATTGGTCCCCAACTGATAATTTTTAACATCCCAAGAGTCCAAAAAGTTACTGTATACTGGGACCAAATTATTGTCAATGACTAAAAATCATCATTAGAGAGCTAATTTAGTGTCATAATCTTTCAGTGACCAAATTGACATTTCAAAATTCTCTCAACAATTTATAATCCAGTGCTTTATAATAATATCAATGAATAAGATTCAGTATAGTTTTTTTGGTAACCATGGTATTGGTAAAGTATATTCACTGTCGAAAGCGATGGCTAATTCCCGTCAGGGATTCTAAGCATACACAAAGTGGGTATTCTTCTTCTAACATAGTCTATTTCATACTCAAAACCAAGATTCAAACCCTAAACAACTTGATTAAGGAACACAAACTGCTACTACTTATGTCAACCAACATTAGTATGATTTAGTATAGTTTACAATGACATGATAATTAAAAAATTCCTTAAATTACGATTCTGCAAGCATTTGCTTTAACAGACAATTCCTATCTTAAATAACATGCAATAAAAGAAAATTCATACCTGTGATAAGGAGAGATCCTGTCGAACATGATGTACAATCTCTGCCAAAAGACTATAAGCCAAGGGCCTCAAAGTCTCAAAGCATGCTCGTCCAGACCCAACTAGAACCCTAAAAGTATGAATTATATATAACATAAGACAACATTCAAAACAGTTGTATTGATTATGTCATTGTCAAGTTTTACTTCCTCTGATTATTCCAAATTCCCAATCCACTTTTTAAATTTTCTACTTCCTGACAAACATTGATTTATCCTCACAACTCAGCAACTTTTACTTCAATATAGGATCTCAAACATCTAATATTGGAAACACAAATTCAGAACCATTATCTGAGAAGCTAAGTAACAAGAATAATATAAACAAACCAAGTAATGACTCTCAATACAATTGACTGATAACTTTCCAATACTAGTATAGCTCTTACAGCTTAACCCTCCTTTACTCAATAACTACACATGATTGTCCAATTAGATAAATTTAAGACCATATAGTTTGTGATTTTTACCACTATTGACCTTCTAAAACATAAAAGTAGAATTACCAAAAAGGTTCTGATAAAAATATGTACTACGACTGAAAAATACTGACTGAGTGACTATTTAAGTCCCATTAAGTTAATATAGTAAACACCATAGCCACTAAACACTGACAAACAGTTATTTATACTTCATGTAAAAATATTAACAGGAGCCCATTGTTTGGAATACATTCAAAAAATATCTGCATCAAGATTTTAGAATAGGTCACCATGTTACCTTTCTTCCAATAGAGTATCGATAAGAGGAAATAAACCTCTCCTGAAATCAGTTCCAAGGACATGTTTCAGGGATATTAATAACTCCTGCATCCAACATTTTTGTCTTTAAAACAATGAAAGAGAACTCCAATAGAAAAAAACACAAAAGCAACAACAGTGTCACCTTTCTAATGGATACAGAATCAGAGCATGTAACAAGCAAATTCACAATGCTTTTACATATACTTTCTTCATGTGTCCTTATATAATCAGCATAGCTCTTCAACAGATAAGTTAAAAAGGACACTGTCTGTAATAACAAAAAAATGCAACTAGTAAGTATATAATTAAGATGATATAAAGAGAGGGATTAGTTAATGAAATTTGTGGCTTTTCATTTTCAATTGTTCACCCCAAAATATCTCCACTTCCTTGTGGCCACCACAAGGTGGCTAGTTTCCAAAATTAACTCTGCAAATGAAATCTATTTTCTTTACACTGGCAGGAGAAAAACATTAGTAATATCACTGAGTAAACCTACCAAAAGGTGCAGAGATATAACAAAATACAAAGATGTTTTGCATCTGTTTAGCAACCAAAGTATATCCAGCACTTCTCTCTGGATGCAATGGGCTATCTTATCATATTGAAATGAATAGAGTAATAGCACTGCATCTTCAACCTATTACAGTTTTTGGGTCATGACTCCCCACCTTCTAAAATAAAATTTACAGAAGCAAAATGCAAACATTTTGGAAAATGTAGAAATGTTGCAAAAAAAATGAGCATATTGGATCCTAACAGTATCTAGTGGACTCAAGTCTCATACCATGTAAATGGATCCTAACAAAATCTCAGTGTTCAAATCCACAGTTTATTTAGGAATAAGCTTCTCAAGCATGTTCCTGTGAAATAGATATTAACGTTCCTCGGTTTTGTTTCATAGCTTTTTCATTCATTTTCTCTTTTCTACTCTTTCTGGGCACATATTAGTATCCTTTCTGTAATCTTCTCCTTCAATAACCTCACTTTACTAACTTGTAGACTAATAAAATTTCAATATTTTGTAGATGAAATTTGAGAGAATACCAAACAAGGATGACTCAACTGCAAGATATGTTTTTGGCCTTTGTTTCCTGTTTCAATCAATATGTTTTCACTAATAACCACAAAAATGCCACCTTGTTTTAGCTTAGAATAGAAAGAAACGGTGACAACAAAAGAAAAAAATGCTGTCTTCACCATTTTCTTTCACAGAAGTTTGAAAATAGGGAATAAGGTGAAAACAATGCGGCATTTTTTTTAATTATTAGTGAGAAAAATCAACTGAAAATTAAAGCAGAAAGCAAATCAAACACGAGCTTTATTTCCCTAGTAATTGTAAACCTATTTATGCTATGTTTACACGTAAGATGTTGAAAATTCAACATCGTAGTAGTTGGTATGTTGTGATCAACATGTGCCTTATGGAGATTTTGATGTTTTTGTGTAATTCATAAATCATATTAAAATACATTGTAACTATGCTTTCAAGCAAGGTTGTCAATCTCAAGTGTTTACGTAATCTCATGGAGGCTCCATAAACTCGTAAGAGTTTACTTAATATAAAAAATATGTTAAAAATACTTAGAAATAACATAATAACTACCATTCAACTTCATATTAAAGCAAAATAGAAAATTACAATGATAAAGTAGCAAAGTTTAGTAACAATTTCACGAGACACAACTCACAAGTTCTTAAAAATAAAATGACAGCAAATAAAAAACTAAGAAAAGACTAATATATTCAAATCATATCTAATCCTCTAATAATAGACTGAGAAGAACTTGTCTTGGTGGCTGATGCAGCTCGCGGAAGAGCACGGACGCAACTTAGGAGAAACGTCGCACTGAGAACGACGAGAGCGGCTGCAAGCGCAACACAACACGGGGCGGATCGAAACGATGGACGAAGGAGGCACGGATCGGAATGATGCACATAGTGCAGCGACGCGGATCGAAATGATGCATGGAGAAGAAGTGGCACAGATCGAACGCATGGAGGAGCAATGGTGTAGCGCGGAGGAGCAACAATGTGAAGGAGAAAGACGTCGGGGGAGAAGCAAACAACGCATGAACGATCCACGAGGGAAGAAAAGAATGAAACACGAGGGTTTCTACCCTTGATGAAACGTGCGTTTCAAGGTTTCAGAGTTTGGTAAACTCGTGGATCTTGGGGTAAACTCACGATTTCATGCGTGATTACCCGAGTTTACTAAAGTTTACTCAAAAACGAGTTTACCTTCAAGTCGTCCCGTTTTGCTTCAGTAAACTCATAATCTTAGACGATTTTACGAGTTGTAACTCGAGATTGACAACCATGCTTTCAAGTACTTAAAAAATTAAAATTTCCACTTACTAAAATAACTACTATGTGTGTGTTTGGGATGGCATTAAAGAGGCACGTAAAACAATATTTTTATGTCCAATACAAATAAATATTTGAAGCTATAGAAGGAAGTGTTGGATCGGATGCTAATCAAATTGTGTGGAAGTATAACCAAACATGATCTATAAAATTTAGCCAACCTTCACGTTATAACCATAAGAACATACCTTAACCTGTGCACCCTTAAGCTCGATGAAATGATTTTTCAAATGGGGAGGAACCCTTTCAGGGCCGGGAACTGATATAGCGGCAACCATCAATGGCAATAATTGAGGAATATTTGATTGCACTAAACGGCTATATAATTGAAACAGAAACATCACCACCAGTGGACTCTCTGTAACTATCTTGAATGAGCGCGTACTTGGATTAAGCTGTGAACCAGTTGCAGTGGCAGTGTTTATACCTTGATCAGAAAGTGAAGTCTCCATGGGCTTGACATCTTCCCCAGTCATTGCCATGTTCTCAAAGAAATGGCTAACAGTCAGTTTAAAATTTTGGTAAATCTTGCAGACGAAGTCCAGAAATGGCTGGACTTCATTTTCTAGAGTCGGCCTAAAGTTCCTCAAAAGGTCAAAGATTATTCGGATACAAATTAAGCCATTCTCCTCATTATCCGTGGTAAGCACTTGCATGGCAACCTTCAAGAGGTCCTGTACAAAGGGACGGAGAACTTCACTGTGTGGAAGTCTATTCAATATCTCAACCACAATATTCCGAAGCTTGTGCTCCTGATTATCCACATACTGTGGCTTCGTAATTTGCAGCAGTATCGCTGAGAATGCCCTGAAGTAACACTTTAGAAAATTCAAGTACTCGGCAGTGTGAGCAATCTCAAGACTATCCCTAACCTCCATCACCATCTGCAGCCTCACCTGAATTGCTGATTCCCCAAAAAAAAACAAAGAAACAATTTTTAAGCAAAAGCAAAACGTTAAATGTCCAAACAATGAAAACTGAAAGCATTTAAATGCGTAAGTGCCAACAACACAGGCATAGTTGAATCCATTTTAACAAGCAGGAGAACATTAAAACAAGCGCTAAATGTCAAAACAATGAGAACTGGAAACACTTAAATGCCAACAGAAACAGGCATAGATGAACCCATTTCCCTGCCATCATGCAACTTTTTTTCAATTCAATCCCCAATCAAACAGTAAAGAAAACAAACAAAACGCCAAATAATTATGGTTACAACAAAAGAGAGAAAGAGAAAATGCTTACGGAGGTCGGCCTCCACGAGATGACGAGAATGTTGCTCGAAATCCTGAACGGGACTCATGATGGAGTTGTAGAAGTGAGAGGGAAATCATAAAACGCTAAAACCCTAACTGGCTAGCTTCAATCTTCGAGGAACAGAAGAATTCAGAGTCGAAAACGCCTATGCTACGATTCTCTCTAGGGTTCAATAGAGTAACGATAATCTAAAACCTCTGTGTCGAAAGCAAACGAGAGCTCTACCTCTCGCAATTGGGAGAGAGTGATGTTGAACAGATACTGTATGGGAGCAATTGGTGAAGTTAAATGAGGATTTGCAGAAACTACGAGTTAGAGTATGGAATTTGTTAGGGCTAGAGAAGCGGCTTTGAGTAACAGTATTTTCCCTCCTCTTTCTGGCGTCCTTGCTATGGGACTCCACTCGGCACCACCGAGAATTGGACTTACTCACCACTCTGGGCTTCCATTTTCTACAAAAACTCTTTTACTCATTTACCTCCGCGAAATTTTTTTTTTTTTTGTGAATTAAATGATCGATAAAAAACTTAAATTTATTCCCCTGCACCAAAAAGAAATCTTAAGTTTATTCCTATATTACCCTTTTAATTGTTAAAATAGTCTCCCTGGATCACGCTGATACTCCGGAAATTTAAGAACCACGTCAATTTTTTTTTTTAATTTCTTGTTCACGATCATTACAATGTTCAAGAGCCGATAATCAATACTAATTTGTATTTGTGGATGTAATTTTTGATTATTTTACCATATCAAATCTTGAGACACTAATTTGACTTCTTATCTCAGAACAAATTTTACTATCGGTCAAGAGGTTTTGGTTATCACACTACTTATTTACCTCTACAAAGATTGTTATTAAAAAGGCAAAAAAATTAAAAAAAAATCAACAATATGTTGTAGTCTAATTAATAAACAATTAATCATATTATCAACCTTATGATATAGGTTAGATAAGATGTATGAGATTATAAATTGGAACTTCCATGTGGTTTAGTATCATGTAACCCAAGGTTTCCTTCCTCCTTTGGTTTACAAGTTATAGGTTAGGCAATAGCATGGATCTTTTTGCGCCCCCTTCATGGCTCTATAGAGAACCTTTACACTTTTTTGTCAATACCATCACATATTTGCCTAGGAAGAAAAAAATAGGTTGCATAAAAAGTTATTGTAACTTCAATGAACTTTTATAAAATTTTATGTTCAAGCTTTAATTTTTTTTAGTTGGTCACTAAAAACCATTTCCTATATTTAACACAAACAATTATTTTGCACGAAATTGTTTTTAAGGGTTATTCTTTCATGGAAAGGATTTTAAGGATTTTCTAACTTCTTATCTAATTCAATTTCATATTTATTTTTTAAATTTTAATGTTTTAAAATACATTATCAACAAATAAAATAATTTTGTGTCATAATATAAAACCTAAAATGTTTTTTCAAGTTTCTCATTTTCTTTTCTTAAAACCTAAAATGCTTTTTGAGTATGTTATTTATTTTAGTTATTTATTTATAAATATTGGGATGTCATGGTAAGAGGATATTGGGACTAAGATTTTGTTAGAGGATTAGAAATCTAAGGCCATTTGTTGTTTAGTTTTACACTCAAGCAAAACCTTTTTTGGGCAAAAGAAAAAGATGAGAAACATGACAAACAGGATTTCCTTCTAGAAGATGATTTTTCCTTTCAATTGAGTAAAGCATAAAAGGATTGCACAAGTGAAACAAAATGTGATTGTTACATCAGATGTTTTATGAGATCATATCCCCCAAGTTCAAACCTAAATTTGTAAAACCAACCTTGTCAAGTGACAGTGTCAAAGTCCAAAGATTTTGTCTTGTGAGTGTCAAAAGCTTCAATCTTCACTTTTTCTAATGTGTTTGCCCAATTTTATGAAGGTGACCACTTTCATCACAATATCCGTGACAACCAAATTGAAACACCAGAAACGAATAGAATAAGAAACACCAAAAATCTTAATTGGAAAAAAAAGTCAAATAAGTCATTCATTTTTTCAACTATATTAAAATTCTCAAAATCTGTAATATAATTTATCTTAATCGTTCAATATAAATATAATAAATCTATCGGTGATAACGCATGGTTCACTCATGTACCACTTAAGATAATACGTTAAATTGCTTCCTCACCCATGCAGCACTTAACCAAGTGCTTCGTGTTTGAATCTCTCTTTTCAAAGGCATGCATGACCATGTTCAATAATGTTGACTTTTGGATGATATAAGATCTTCAAAAAAGTGAAATAATATTAGTGCGTGTTTAGTTTGATTTGTAACGTAATTTTTCTTTTTCTTTCCATGTTCACAAGCAAATTTACATGAAAGTTTCAATTTATTGCTTCCCGTAAACGTGAATTTTCACGTTTCAAAGCTGATGCAAACACACACTTAAAGATGTTAATAAGGGGATTTTTTTTCGTTACATGTGTTAAAGATTGTCTTTTTTTTTTCTTTTCCTAAACTCAGTGAAATCATGATTGATATGAAAATCAAAATTTTCCTTTTCCACCCTCAAGAAACTCACATTAGTTATTTTTTCCATTAATATTGTGCAATGATTGGAATTTACCAACTCATGATTCAACTTCCCTTATTACAGTAATACCTCATTTCATATGGAAAGTTGATTCATTAGCCGATAAATTTTAATTATTGCACATTATTAACAATGAAAATAATTAATATAGGTTTTTTGAGGGTGGAATAGGATAAATTTGATGTCCCGGCCCACCAATCTTAAAGTCCAAAATTTCTTAAGTTGGTCTGGCCCACCATGGATTGGTGGGCTAAACGGGTCGGTCCATTAAACTACCTAATTTTTTTAAAAAAATTATAATTTAAAATTAATTTTAATCTAAAATAATTTATAATTTAAAGTAAAAGATTGTCAAATTAAGTATCATACATACAACATTAAACTTAAATTAAAAAGTGTATAACTTTAAATAATCAAAAAATAAAAATAAAAACCTTTCATGAGAGTAATTATTTATCAATATTAAATTTCATTGGAGGCTTAAGTAGATAAATTTATAGCAATTTCATGTTATTTAACATTGACTTTATTTTTATCTAAAAATAATAATGGTATCTTGTTAAAATAATAGACACATAATAATAAATGATTAAGTGAGTTATTAGCGAGTTAGGTTGATGAGAGTGTAAGTGAGTTGGGTGGGTAGCCTAACATACCACGGGTTCATCCTGGGTGAGCCGGGTCGAAAGTGGGTTCGGTCATATTTTTTGACTCGTTATAAACTTTTTCATTTTTTTTGCCCGGATTAGCCCGTTTTCAAGGTGGGTCAAGTTAGTCCGCAGGCTGAAACTTACTTTGACGGCTCTATACACATATATATTAAAATATTTTAATTCACATATTAAAAGAAATAGTTGATATAATTGAAAATAATAAATTTATTTTATTTTATAATTTTTTAAAAGTTTATTTATGTTATCTTTATCTCCAATTAATATTTTTTTAATGTAATGTACATGTTTTATATTACTTTTCTCTATTAATTAATATTGTTCTCTTAACCAATTAGATTAAATGTATTTTAAATAGTTCCTAATTAATGATTTTATCAAATTAAGATAATATATTTTAATTGAAACTATTTTAGTTTTAAATTAATTAATGTGTATAATATGAATTGAATCTTAAAAATTGTGACTAAAAATCTGATAACGAGGCTTAAGCCACTTATGACAAGATTAATGGGGCCTTGCCAATGTAGTTTTGTTCGAAAGTAGCAAAGGAAGGATGATGTGACATCAGAACAAGAGGTGATTCATTCCATGAGAATAAAGAAAGGCAAGGTGGGATGGATGACCTTTATAATTGACATGGAAAATATGATAGGCTCAACTGGGCTTTTGTGAAAGAGAATTTAGAGGAGATTAGTCTTCCAACAACCACGGTCTTTTTGATTTGGGAGTGCATATATTCAACAAGAATGCGAGTGGTCGGTCTGTAATGGAAAAGTCTTAGTGGACTTCCAACCACAACGAGCTAAATGTACACCAGGGTGTCCCAATCTTGCCACTATTGTTGGTTTTTTGCATAGAGCAACTATTCCACTTGGTGAATATGATAGTAAATCAAAAGCTTTGGTATCTGATTATTGGAGAAAAAGAAAACAGAAAAATGATTCTGTATTATTCAATGTATTCCTTATATAAGGAAGATACAGCTGTACAACTCAGCAAATATTCTAACAACCTAACAAACTAATGATGAAAAAATATTTACATATATTGACATACACCAATACCCCCCTGCAAACTCATGTGGAGGATTTGTGAGAGGAAAAATCCTGAACATGAAGTTTGCTTTTAAGAACTGTAAATCGGGAAGAAGATAGAGGTTTGGTCAGAATATCAGCCCACTGATCTAAGGCAGGAATATGTTGAATCTGTAATTGCTTAGCCAACACTTTCTCACGAACAAAAAATACATCAATTTCCATGTGCTTAGTACGACTATGAAAAACAGGATTATGAGCAATAGCAACAGCACTCTTGTTATCACAAAACAAGGTAGGAGAAAAGAAAGGAACATGCAGTTCCTTTAACAAAGCTTGAATCCAAGTTAACTCAGCAGTAGTCTGAGCAATAGCTCTGTATTCAGCTTCTGTGCTTGACCTAGCAGTAACTTGTTGCTTACGAGACCACCAAGAGATCAAATTAGGACCAAGAAAAATGGCAGAACCAGATGTAGAGCGTCTATCATCAATATCAGAAGCCCAAT